AGTATTCTTATTTAACTATAGTGTAAATATATATAGCAGCCTACAGAACATTACTTTGCTTCATGGATTTTTTACAAATATTGATAAAAAGCCATGAAGCTCGCACTAAAAAAAAAAAAAAAAGTTCTAAGAGAAGCATCTTCCCGAAGTGCAACGATCTTAAAAGCTATGATTAGTTTGTTTTTTTAAAGTCCTCCATATTAATAGAACTTTTTTTTTTTTTTTTAGGCCCAGCTCTTTGGCTTTTTTTTTTTTTTTTCAAAACATCCCAAAACCAAACAAAATTTTGTTTGGTTTTGGGATGTTTTGAAAAAAAAAAAAAAAAGCCAAAGAGCTGGGCCTAAAAAAAAAAAAAAAAGTTCTAAGAGAAGCATCTTCCCGAAGGGCAACGATCTTAAAAGCTATGATTAGTTTGTTTTTTTAAAGTCCTCCATATTAATAGAATTTTTTTTTTTTTTTTTTTTTTTTTTTGATGGCTGGCTGGTTTCAGGAATATGAACCCTTGACTTTTATGTTACCAATGCCACACTCTAACCAAGTGAGCTATCTGGCCAGCCCCCATATTAATAGATTTTTATACTGCTGGACTTCTCAGAGTTTTACCTTAATGAGCAAAAATCTCAGGAACTGGTCATTCACAGAATATACACTGGGAAATCCTGTGGTAGCTATCTTAAGATTCAATCTGCAAAGACCTAACAATTTTATAAATTTTCTGCTGTAAATTCCCTTATCATAGATTTTGACAACTAATATTATAAATAAATAGGAATCAGGGATCTCTAAATTCTCATCCTTTGAAATATTTTATAGATATTAAGATGCCTAACATTTTATAAGCCAGCTATATTTCTAAAATTAAAATCTAGAAAATCTTTCCTATTTCCAAACATGACTTTTGAATCACTGAAATACAGCAAAATCAGATAACTACAAATAGCTGAAATGCTTCTTATCTATATATAAAACATTACAAAGTCCCTGTATCAGGTCCAAATATCAATTGTTAAAAATCTACTTTTCTAATTTAGTTGTTAAAAAAATTTTTTCTACATAATATAAAACCTCCCAGCATTTGATTAATATAAAAAGTATCTCTACATAAGAGGAAACCGATGATGCTCAGAAAAGAATCATAACTTATAGACTCAAACTCTAGTCCTCAATCCACCTCATGATACTTTTCCTCCATTCTTTTTCTAAAGTTCTAAGATTAACACACTGAAAACACCAGAATTTCAGTAACTATTAAGGTTCCCAAGCCAGGCTAGTATCTAATCTCAGTTTAAAGAAAGGGAAGAAAAGGAAGGTCATGATAGTCCCCAATCTCCAGAGAGCTGGATGCCTCCAAACCAGTGATTCACAACTTGTTGGTTACAGGAGCCTATGGAATAACTGTAAGAAGTCCTCAAATCCATATATACGACGATCATTATCTACACACCAAATATATAAAAAAATCTCTTAAGTGTGTTCTATTTTTCAAATGTATGTGATTTACGAAATAAAAGCCCATTGAAAAGCCAAAATAAAGGTTGTAACAAGTCAGAAAGCTCCAAATCAAAATCCTGTTTCCTGTACTTTCAACTCTCAAACCTGGGCAAGTTAACTTACCTCTCTGAATCTCAGTTTCCTTAGCTGTGAAATAGAATGATAATATTTATCTCACGGAGTTTTTGTGAAGACTAAATCAAAAAACACATGCTAAGTGCTCAATATAGTGTCTGAAGAATAGAAGGTACTCAACAAATGATAGTTGTTATTAGAGTCACAGTGCAATAGTTTTTAAGTCAGAGAACTTGCCAAGCCTCTTAAAAACTATATGACCTCGGGCAAGTTTCTTAACCTGTATGGACCTCAGTTTCCACATCTGCGAAACAGATATTATAGCTATCTTGTAGGTTTGTGCTAAGAATTAAACAAAACTACAAATATACAAAAAGCACCTTGCAAATACTAGGTGCTAAATAAATTGTAGCTAGCATCATTATTAGCAACAACAATAAACATCTGAGTATAGGGATTAGCTGTTCACAAAATAGTTTTTACATATAAGAGTATATGTAATTCTATGAATTACTGAAATAAATGTATTTCTCTTAATTCCCAAATTAGGTTTAAATTTCAAAAAAAAAGTAAAATACAGGCAAACTCTTTTAAAAACACTGAAAAATAAAGGGCCATTTCATTAATTTAAAAGTAAAAATGTAGTATCTATAACTAGATCTGCTTTAAGGTCCAAATAAATCTAAAAGAGTTAAAAAGGAAATGTTTATTTTTTCTGCCTTTTGGAGAAGGAAAAAAAAAAACAAATCTCGAAGTCCTTAGAAAGAAAACAGAGATTGAATTTTTTCTAATTTTTTCATGATTTGACATCTTCACACTACTAAAATGAAAGTGCCTTTAATACAAGAACTCTTTCGAATCTCTGATTCCCTGCACTATATACCTTTGAGCAGAAGGAGTAAAGCACTATAGTTAAGACCGCGGACTGTGGAGCTAGACTGTCTGGGTTCAAATCCTGACTCCATCTAGCTGTATGACCTTAGGCAAGTTTTAACCTCTCCATGCCGGTTTTCTCATTTAGAAAATGAGGATTCCTCACAGGATTGTTATAAGGATTAAATGAGTTAATACACTCAAAGTGTTCATAAGACAGCCTTAGCATATGGAAGGTATACTGTAAGTGCTTACCATTTTTGTTACTGTTTTATTATTGCCACCTCAAAATACCCAGATCTATGTCAGTACTTGTTACTTTGTGGACAATTTCAAAAAATGGCTTTACCTAAAATGAGACCTGTTTAGGAAGTACCTTAACATGACTTCCACTGCCAGTAAAGATATGATATAGCAATTGCTGCTAAAGGGGATTTTAGAGCAAAGGTAAGGAAAGTCAATTCCTTTCTCACACTTCCTGTGATACAAAGTGATAACCATCCTTGCTTGCTAATAGAAGTTCAGAACAGTTTAGGCATGGCACACACCAACCCAGCAGACACAAAATTCTCAAACTCAACTTCCATAATACTCAATTACATCCCTTCAAAGAAAAAAATTCAGATTACTCTTCCATTGTAACAGTTCAGTGCTTTAAAGTAAAAACTACATTGCATCTGTCAAAAGAATGTCATAAGGATTTAAATAAGATACAGTAAATCGAAATGTTTGAAAGTTATACATGTGCTAAATACTATTTTATGAATGAACTTCAGAAAATTATAACTGGATTTCTCCAATTTCCAACAGCTGCCTTCTAACTAGTGTTCCATCCATTTAAATCAGATTAAAGATGCTATCCCACTAAATCATTTCCTGCTTGAAATGTACTCATCCTTAAAATATCTATAGGACAGATAACTCAAATGGTACTTCTGAAACCCAAGTCTCACACCTACACCAAAAGTTTCAGTGACATCCTAGAAACAGCTTAACTCAAGACCAGAAAGATATCTCTACAGTTATTAGATCAAACAATGCCACCCCAATTCCCAACTGTCTATAACCTGGGTATAGAAAAATGCTGAATATCTTCAGATCAAGAACATCAAAAAAATCAGAGGCCACGTTTCAACTTCAGCTGATGGCTAGAATGTTTATCTGGCTCACCCTCAAATTAAAAATTGATTCCAGCATCGATCAGGGAAATGGCCATGAAGCAGCCACCAACAGGTCACACATACCAGATCAGACCACAGGTCACTTGGCACCCTGCACTGAGCCAGATCCAACTGAGTGTCTGACTGCCAGCCCTTGACCTAGTGAATGGGACAATAGGCTAGCAGTCAAGAGAGTTAGATTATTGTAGTTACAGTTCCATTTTGAAATTCTTGACTGATTTGAGTAATCAAATTTGGGAAAATGTGAAGAAACTTTGAAATATATGTGGAAAACTTCTTTGAGTATGTTTCACAGATGTAGTTACTTTATCTGTTTAGTAACATAAAAAATATTATTTATTAACTTGTTTGGTTCATAAAATCATTTCTGGGCTTGTGGGATGGTGGTTCAGGAAGACAATTAGCTCTTTTCTTCAGGATCTGTTTCTCCATCTGCATGTAAAATTGGTGTTAGATCAGCTCCCCCTCTCAAAGATGAACTAAAGATAAATGAAATACTATATGCAAGTACTTTCAGCATTTCAGAAGAAATTTGCTACAGGAAAAACACAGGGTAGCAATGCAACAGAATTTCTTAACACCTAAATCGGGGATCCAGACTAAGCCGGTGTTTGAAGTCAAATTCCTCGAGGTCATACTTTCCTGTATATATTCGAATTTCTGCGTCAGGAAGCTGGTTTGTGTCTATACAAAGCCATCTTCTAATGAGCCGTAACATAATGGCATTCTCCTCTAATGTCCCTCCTTCCCACTCCCTATCTTTTCAGAACTTCCAGACAGAAAAGAACCTCTGCCAATCCTACAACTTCTCCCCACTTGCCAGGGCTGGGATGGATTCCACAACTTTCCAGCCTCCCGTGACTTCTACCACTCCTCTAGAGCTCATCACTCTTAGGGACCCCCCTCAGGAACAGTCACTCTTCTCAGCTTTACATTTTGTCCTGGCAAAAATCGACCGAACCGTCCCCTGACGCCAGTCACCTCCAACGACCTCAGACATCCCGAGGACTTTGCCCGCGGGCCGGGCCCCCAAAGCCGCGACTCCTGCCCCACCTCCCTGAGCAGCCCGCCCCCAAGCCGGGCGCCGCTCAACCCCGAAACCCGGGCGCAGCAGCACTGGGCTCCCGCCTCTCCAATGGGCGCCTCGGCCCCGACGCACTCTTCGCCCTTTCCCCGGGGACTGGCTCTCGGGACCCCGACCCCTTCCTGAGCGGGGGCGGGCGACGCTCCCGGCTGCTGGACTGAGATTCCGGAGGCCGCGCGTCCCTCTCACCAGGCCCCGCCTGGGCCTCTCCGCTCAGCTGCCCTCCATGGCACCCCTGGCCCAGCCGTGCTTACGCCGAAGAGTAGGGCAGCACGAGCCCGGGGACTGGCACTTACTCGGGTAGGTAGGTGGAGGAGAAAGAGCTCCACTTGTGTAGCGCGTAGGGCAGAAGCCGGCACTCGGGCGCCGCAACGACAGCCCCGCCAGCCGCCATCTTGTCAGCACCGTAGCGGCCGCCACCGACCGCCGGCCGCGCTGGGAGGAGGGGAGGGGGCGTGGCCTGCTCTTAAAGGGGCCGCGGCGCGCGCAGGTCTACCGTCCTATGCTAGGGTTTCTCACGCTGCCCGCTCCTTGTTGACTGACCGAGACTGGGTCTGCGGTGTGAGCACTTGAGAGGCTCTTCTGTGGGGCTTGGAGGAGAGTGGCGCAAAGGACTTTTCTTACAAGCAGAGGTATGGAAAAAGCCAAGAATATTATGGAAAAAATAAATTGTAGTTATGGACTACTACCAAGGAAGAGAAAATGAGGAGGCCAACTTGGACAAGAGACGCCTTTGCGACTTTGGAAACCACCGCCCTAGCGAGTTTATAAATCCTTTAAGGAAACAGCACTGAAGGGAATTGGAGTGCAGTAGCTAATGTCCGTTCCTTCTGGAATTGTCCTCGTTTTAAATGTCCAGTCCCCGGGTTGCAGAGTCAGATGGAGACAGGAAAAGGAAATGCTCCTGTGTTCTCATACCCTGTTCGTTTTCAGCCCGTGATGCCCTTCATTGTGTCTTGTGAGCCCTCTTCTACTAATCTTGTGACACTGGTTTGCTCGGGAATGACATTAACCCACAGACAAGAAAAATCCTTATGGAGTTGGGAAGCTGTGTCATTTTTCCAGTTGGTAAATCTGTCCACTTTTAACTCTGACAAAAATGTAGCCCAAGAGTTGAGGGGATGGGGTGTCCCTTATTGCCTAAGAGGTTGGATTCCTGAAAACCTGGACAGATTCATCATCTCCACCTGACAGATGGAAAAACCCAAGCAAAGAGTTTCTCAGTGAATGACCAAGTGAGTCAAAACACCTCAATAATTGTATTCTCTTCCCATTATAATCATTAACCTGACCGAGTCCCTCCACACCCTTCTTCACTTCCTGTTTGCTTCTAAACTGTTTCACAGAGGTCCTTCGTAACCTGCCTTGGTTGTCTCTCCAGCCTTCTCTCTCTCTTTCCCTCTGTCTCTCTCTCTCTCATCTTTCTCCTTTGCACTCTTTACATCAGCTACACTAAACAAACACACTGAATTGGCTGCTGTAGGTTCTGTGTTCTCTCTGGCCTCCAGGACTTAGTCTAAGCCAGGCCTGAAATATTCTCCCCCATACTTCGCCTGGCTAACTACTGCTCATTCTTCAGATTATTTTCGTTATGGAAAATCTTTCCTCATCAACTGTTTTGGGGTTAGGTGACTTTTCTATACTTCCTTTAGCACCCTGAGTTCCCCTCCTTATTTTAGCGAACATCACAATATATTGTAATTTCATCTTTTCTTTCTCCCTAAATGATAATTCCCATGAAGGTAGTACACAGTTGTATCCTCAGTCCTGTTATTGTGTCTAGTACATTGTAGATTATTAATAAATATTTATTGAAGAATGAATTCTGCTAAAAGAGAATTTGAACTGAGACTTTTGTATTGCAAAGGAAAAAGAATGCCAGAACTGCTCAGACTGCAAACATATATCCCTGAGGTATGATTGCCACATAGAATGTAAAGACCCATGGTAGCATGGCTTTCCTGCAGCACAAATTTTATAAATGGTAAAATAATTGAAAACATTCTATGTTAACATATATTCAGATAGATGTATTATGCTACTGTGCCCAAAATTTGTGTAAATGTTAAGATACAACAGAGGACTAAAGAAATTTCAAAATCTGCGGGAAGTTACTAGTAGCTAGACCTTCGAATCTCCTAGATACACCTTACTCTCCTCTGTCTTTGGTTCATGACTTTAGGTAATGGAGTTTATTGTAAGGATACATAAGGAAGGCCTGGAAACTGTCAACAGCCATATAGTCTCTCTAGTTCCCACACGCTTCAAAGATTGGGATGTACTGATGGAGAACTGAACAATGGGTCATCATTTTTCAGGGATCAACAGCAGCCATGATGACACAACAGCTCTCATGACCCATTCATCCCCAAGAGGCAATCATCTTTTACTCTCCACTGCCTTTTCAGTATGCTTCTCATATTAAAGACTTCCCAGAGAGAAAGTAACTGTGTTTGGTTTGCCACTGTCCACCATCTTTTCCTGCAAGAAAGACTTATTGAGAGTCTGTAATGTGCCAGGCCCTGTCCTAGATGCTAGGGAGACAGAGCTAAACAGACAAGCCAGACAAGAACCCTACTTCATGGAGCTTAGGTTCTGGTGGGGCAACATGTAATAAATATAATAAAGTCAACTACATAATTTTAGTCTGTGCAAAATGCTAATAAGAGACTAAACCAGGGCAATGTTTAGACTGGACAGAAAAGGAAAGCTTGCCTAAGAAGGTAATATTTGAGCTAATATGTGTAGAATGAGAAAGAGCCAGCAATGCAAAGGCTAATAAAAAGCAGTCCAGACAGAGTCCAAGATCCTGAATGATATAGTGACTTACACAAGGAGATATAGCTGGTCAGAGACAGAGCCCAAATCTCTGGTTCAAAAGCTCATCCTGTTTGATTGCATTACATTTCTTCTCAAATGAGTTGACATACAGAGAAGAGACTTAGTAAACTGGAAAGTACTGTTCAAATATAAGATATTGTCAAATAATAATACAGGCCACCAGAGTTAAAAGCAAAACAAACACAGCTGAGTTTATTTACTTTCAGGCAAAGGAACATACCAGTTGGCTGAAGATAAAAAGTATGTGTTTTTAATTATTAGGAAGGGGTTTCATGGTTGTTACAATAATTAAGGATGTTTTAGTCTGTTCGTGCAGCTATAACAAAATATTGGGAAATTTATAAGAACAGAAATTTATTTCTCACAGTTCGGGAGGCTGCAAGTTCAATATCAAGGCCCTGGCAGGTTCGGTGTCTGGTAAGAGTCTGGTCACTCTGCTTCCAAGGCGGCACCTTGTTGCTGCATTCTCCTGAGGGGATATTGCTGTTTCTTACCTGGTGGAAAGGGCAGAAAAGCCAGAAGGGCAGAAAGGGGGCCTAGCTAGTTCCCTCCAGCTCTCTTACAAGAAATTACTAATCCCATTCATGAGGACAGAGTCCTCAAAGCCTAATCACCTCCTAAAGGCCCCACCTCCTAATACTGTTGCATTGTGAATTAAGTTTCAACATGAATTTTGAAGGGAACACAAACATTCAAACCACAGCAAAGGATTAAAACAAATACTCTAAATAGGCTGGAATAAATTCATAGCTCTGTACATGATTGGTTAAAACAAGACCGCTATTTCATTGGTCAAGGAAAAAAAAATCTTCAGATAGGTCCTGTAAGTGTTTTGCTTTAGCTTACCAGGATCACTTAAAATTCATGGTTTCTTTTACAACTTTAGCTGCTTAGGATAGTTAAAGCACAACACAATGATCAATGTGCTATCTCCTAGGCAAGCATGAAAAAATTTCCCTCTATAATATTATGTAACAGATGAAAAAACTAATATCCAAATATGTTAGCTGTCATGCCTAAGGTCATTTACACAATTGGGCTGTTCACAGATCTGAATCTAGAACCCAGGTCCCTAATTCTCAGTCACTTTTTCCTAATGTACTTACTGGGAAATGTTTGAGGTCTACATCTACATTATTCTTCTTTAAGTCCTTTATAACTAGCACATAGTAGGCACTCAAGAAATATTTCCTGAATTGAATCTCTTGGTTGATCCTGAATTTCTTCTCACTAATTTACCTTTTTCCTAATGTACTTACTGGGAAATGTTTGAGGTCTACATCTACATTATTCTTCTTTAATTCCTTTATAACTAGCACATAGTAGGCACTCAAGAAATATTTCCTGAATTGAATCTCTTGGTTGATCCTGAATTTCTTCTCACTAATTTATGGTTATGTTTAAGTAGATAAGTAAATAAAAAGAATTTGCTTAGGGATCATCTATAAATCAGAAGACTGGAAAGTATTACAAGCACAGGGGCTGTTGATCCCATTTTTGGTCAGTAAATGAAGAAAATCACCATGAAGATAAGAAAAGTGAACTCGCCCCAATGTAATTCCCATTGAACATTTCTTGCTTACTGGGAACTGACATGCATGATCTCAATTAATCCTCACAACAGCGCCACAAATAAACTGAGACTCTTGGAGGTTAAGATTCACCAAACTCATATGTGCCCTCTCTATTATACAATTCTTAATTGTACACATTCCTAACATCTCCCCAGGATTGAGGATTCAGAAGGCCAAGAGAAGGAATTTCCATATCCTAAATCGAATAGTTCTGCCTCAGTCTTATTTCTGCCCTCTCGTGGTTCCTGTACGAGGGTACTTCAAAAGTTCATGGAAAGATTTGTATTATCTTTCAATTCTATTTTCCCACAAACTTTTTGAAGTACCCTCGTATTAACTCATTCCAACTTTGTTATTATTTGAAATCATTTCTTTAAGCATAGCATTGCCAAAAGGAACGAATGAAAAGCAAAGAATACCAGTGTTTTGTTTGCTGAGTAAAAGGATATCTCTTTTATTTTCTAGGACAAAGAAATTTCAGTCCTGTCCCAATGTTCAGTCACAGGTGAACATTGAGACTAGCTGAGGTCTGTCTTCTCCCAGAAGGTGGCAGCAGCAGCAGCAGCCTCAGCCTGCTGGAGAAATCAGACACAATTCATTTGTTTTCCTGTTGGCGTCCAAACCTAGAAATTCCTGGTTCCAGAGACCACTTTACCCTCCCTTGGTTTGCTGAGCTTAGATAGAGCTGGGGCATAAGGAGTACAGGAGCTGGCAATGATTTCTTTTTATAAGTGCTTAGTTTCTTTTGGTAAACACTTTGGTCTGAGCTGTGACCTTGAAGCATGTGTGAAGGAGGATCAGGAAGTCTCTAGTCAGGGAAAAAGAGCTTCAAAAAGAAAAAAATAACATTAACTGAAACACTTGCATCCACACAATCATAAATCCAGAGACCCCAACTCACAGTTTGGTTTCACACAAAGAGTATAGATTCCAGATCTGGCCTCCCAGCCAGCTGATCTTGTCCTTGAACCTGTCAGAGCTGCAATTTCCTCAGCTACCCAGTGTGGACTAGGTGGTCTCGAAGCACCTGCTAATTCTTAAATTATGAGTTACTGCACTTTTATTTTCGGGATTAAGTAGGGCTGGCCTTCACCCTTTCAGAATCTTAAAAATCTCAGACACAACAAAGCACTTACTGGTTCCAAGTTAATCCCAGTTGAGCACATATCCTGGTTTGGCAAACACGGCCGACTGCATAGGAGGTGGGCAGGAATCCCAGGAAACGTCTGAACGCCACACAGCTATGGATGAACTGTCAACTGCTGGGAGCTGCTTTGCAAATTACCACATCTAAACGAAGCTGACAAAATGATATTTCAAAAAAAGCAATTAACACTGATTTCTAGCATATTTGGAACCAAAAGGCCTTTTAGGAAGAGAGAAATTGGCTCAGAAAAATAGTATCCCAGCCCTCTGGATAAGAATGTTGAGGTTAAGGAGATTCTTGTCAGGATTTTTTGTGCTCTACTCCCATTGCCGCAGTCAGAGGGTCAGTCTGGTAATTGTGAAGGAGAAAATGAAACTAGTTCCTCTCGTTTCCTCTCTGCTCCATCCTCCTTGCCCCAACCCACATTGCTTGGATTGGTTAAACATTCATCATTCATTCAGTAAACACTTATTCGGCACTTCCGCTGTGCCAGGTGCTGGGAATACCTGACTATTAAGGAGCTCACAATCGAGTAGTCAGATATTAAATGAATGACTACACGTAGAGCATTCAGAAAGAGTTGGTGTATAAGAGATAAAATATAATGATAGTGGGGATAATGGTGGTATGAGTAGTATTATCTCCATAAGGCCACAGTCCAAATAACATATTTCTTAATAAAAGCTATTCCTATAATATAGTAGAATCATACAGAGACAATCCCACAGTCCTATAGGTATTGGCCACTGTGGGTCTGTCAAGGCAACCCTTTGTTCCTATTACATGAAAGTCATCATACTAGAATCCCTTCCTGAATTAGAGAGCTTTGACTCCAGAAGGCCACTATAAATAGAAATGTGTATATGTTATCTGGCATGAAAGGAGTGGGCTGACTGGAGATAGCTTCCTCCTCTCCCTTTTTCCCATGAAATATTAGCACAGATGATGGGCAGGTTAAAACAGTTTCAGTTACTGAAACAGAGGGAACTGGGTGATGACAGAGACAGGACAGCATGGTAATAGCAAATTCTATATGGCTGCACACTAGAAAAGAGAACCAGATCCAGCTTGGAGAGGAGATCAGAAAGCAAGGAGATGGTGCTGTCCAGTACAACAAAGGGTGAGCTGAGCTATGGAGCCAAAAAAAACAAGCAGAAAAGAAGCAAACCATTTCTCCTGGTTTTTCCACATCTCAGATCAGTCCAAGAGGTCAGCTGAAGTTTGCCTTCAGAGAGACATTATGCCAACATTATGCCGTCATAATGGTGGAATCGAGTCAAATCATTTCTCAAGTGCAAATTTTTATAGCGACCTTTTTTATGTTGATCATTTTGATTTATTTTCTTCCTGTATATTTTCAAATAAGGTCAAAATGGTTTCCTACCCACAATTCCACACTGATTTACATCTATGCCAGTTACTGAATATATAGCACAAAGGTTGAGAACCTCTAGCCTTTGGCTTAATTTTATCCAACTTAATATTCGGGTCACTACTCTCGTGTCCCCAAAAATAACTAGCATTATAATGGATTCTCTGGTGAGCACATTCAGAGTGAAGCCTCTAAGCAGAGGTTCTTGCCATTGGCTGCGTATTGAAATCACACAGGGAATCCCCACATCACATCCAAAACAAATGACATATTAGGGGTGGGACCTAGACATTGATTATTTCCATGTGCAGCTGAGGTTGAGCACTTTCCCCCTTTAAGTCTTACGACGAAATCACACAGGGAATCCCCACATCACATCCAAAACAAATGACATATTAGGGGTGGGACCTGGACATTGATTATTTCCATGTGCAGCTGAGGTTGAGCACTTTCCCCCTTTAAGTCTTACGACAATAAAGAGGCAGGAAGCTGCTAGTAACTGACAACTGAGCTCGCCTCTTCCCTTTGGAATTTATCCTAAGGAGTTGGCATCAAAGAGCCAGATTCCGCAGTGGCAGCCAGCTTGGACACTCACTTTGTAAGTTTTCCATTTTGACTTTCCCACTATCCACCAGGTCTACAATTAAAAGGTTTGAGAATGTAGAGAGTTGTGAACAGTAGTTAATCAGAAGTTCAAAGAGAATTGGTAATAGGTGATGGTGGTTTAAATGCCACACTCTAGAGATCCTGCATTCATCTTAAAAACAAACAAATTTTTAAAAAAATCATCCAACCTATTCAGTCTTTTCCCTCTCCTCCTTCTTTACCCATTTTTCTCTTCCCCTTTTTCTTCTTATCTGTCTCCTTCACCTGCTCTCCCACCCCATCACTGTCATTCTGCCTTCTTCTTCTTTTTTATTTTATTTATTTATTTTTCTGTCTTATTCTTCTTACCCCTTATCTGTTTCTTTACTCTCTGTGCCTTCCTATTCCTCATGCATCTGTTTTATATTATTTTACTCTCTACTTTCTCCTCTTACCCACAACACATACCTCTCTCCTGTGTTTCATCAGCTTTCCCACATGCAACTCCTTAATTGGCTGACATGGAACAACAACATCATCAGATCTTTATAATTATTAAATAAGATTTTTTTTGGTAATTTTAAAGGCAGATAAATACTGATAATATAATATTTCTCTCTCCAAGGAAGAAAAAAAAAAAAACTTGCCCATAGTTAGCACTACTTAAATACTAACTATATAATTATTTTTCTTATCAGTTTGTGTATTGGTCCTAGATTACTTTTTTCATATAGTTCAGTGACCCTCCATAGAAAAATGGTTGTCTGTTCTTGAAGAATCCCGACAACAGCAGCTGACATCACTGTAAAAAGTGAAACAAGCTAAAAACAGTAGTTGAGTATATACACCCTGAATTGCATATTCAGTTGCAAAATCATCATCATTATTATTGTAATTACAGAGGAGAGGCATTTCAATAATTGTTCAAAGTGTCTTCTTGAGGAAATAACTAAATCAGGGCCAGCTGTCACCAACCATTCTACAATAATGATCCCTGTATGTGCGTCTTCAGTATGCATAGGAACTCTACAATAACAAATTTGTCTATTCATCTAATGTCCTTAAGCAACCTAAAAAATAACAAACCTGTGATCAGATCCAGTGTCTCACTTCATAGTTGACCTGTGTTTTTAAACAGTGTGCCTGAATAACCTTAGAATCGACAACCACCAAACAAAAATTGCACCATCAATTTAATAACTAGGGTGGGTGGCCCAGCATCCACCTGTGACACAATGGCAACAAATCTAGGTATGGGAGTAGAGTAGAAGTCAGGTAGATAGATCAGCAGACTAAACAGAAAAATTTAGGAGAAACATCCACGAAATTAGACATGTCTTATTAACTTGAAAATTGTAAACAAATGGGAACTATGAGAAAAGAGGGAAGACCTTGCTTTTAGTTTACTTGTGAAATCAGCCAAAATTTTTTGAGATTTTCTCTTCCCAAGATACAGCTGTGAAATGACTAACAGGAATTAAGTGAGCCTGCACCAGGAACTGAATGTGCCACTTCACTGAGAACAAAAATGTTCCCCTGATAGAGGCTGTCCTCTCAGATTAATACCTTGGGTGCTTTAAAGAGGACGAGCCAGGCGCTAATATGGTGCATTTGTAAAGAGCAAGAATTATCCAAACACCTTCGCAAATTTTTTCCATGAATCACTACCTTTGAATCATGTTTATATTTTAACTTTCATGTTCCTGAAGAAAGTCGAAAGAGAGGGAAAGAAAAAGAAGGAGAAAAAATTTCTTAGCACACTATTTTTCCCTTCCTGGGCCGCTTTGGCTTTCCCATAGGAGTCTTGCTGAAGGGTGGGCCTCAGCCACTTAAGAAAGGTGAATGATCTGGACTGCTTAGGGAACTTGGTAACTTCTGGGATCCGGTCTTCCTAGGTTCTGAAAATCATACTCCTAGTTGCAATTGCTTAGTACCATTTACATATTTGCCTCTCCAGCTAAAAACTATTTCCCCTGCATGCAACCTTATTTTGTTTTAGTAATTAAGCTATTTTCTACAAAAGTATCAGAAGGGGCACTGATTGACATTTTAAAAGTTATCTCAAGGCACAATCGTGTGTGTGTGTTTTGTTGTAAAAGTAAGAGATTTTAAGGCCATAATAAAAATAAATTGAAACTTCAAAATGGTTAAAAATGAAAGGAAAAAATATCCTTCCCACCCTTATCACAAGGTAAGCACTATTTACTATTTCTTGTGTATTTTTTCCATATAAGGATATATAAAATATACAGCATTTTTACATAGAGCACATCATATAATATACAAGAATACTTTTAAAAGTTTGTGGAAAAATAGAATTAAAAGATATTATGACTCTATCCATGAACTTTTTGATGTGCCTTTGTACAATACCTTGCTTCATTCATACCTTGTTTTATTCATTTAGTAATATATTGGATGCAGTGTTATAATACCAAGATCAAGGGTCAGATCCCCATACTGGCCAGCCGCCCCCTCAAAAATAATAATCATATATCAGAAATATTTCCACGTCGGCACATGTAGATCTTTTAATCATTGAACATAACATAAATTTATTTAACTACTGCCCAATTGATTAATATTTAAATCATTTCCACTTATGCTGTTATTATAAATACTGTTTCCATGAATATCCTTAAACATATATCATTGGGAACTTGTATGATTCTCTCTGGAGGACAAATTCCTTTCCATGAAATTGCTGGATCAAAATATATGTACATGTAAGATTGGGTTACATAGTTCCAAATTGTAACTCCAAAAAAGTTGTTCCAATTCGCATTTCCTTCAACAGTGTAAGTTTCTCTATAACATTCCCAAAACTAAGTTTATTGAACCTTAAACTTTCTGTCGCTCATGGGCAAACATGGTATCATGTTGTTGTGATTTGCAATTTTCTAAGCATTAATGAGGTTGAGCATTTTTCTAAGTACTTTTTGCCATTCTTATTTTCTTTATGAGATATTTGTTCATATTTGTTGCTCATTTTTTCTTTTTTTTTTCTTATAAAGCTGTGAGATCTCCTTGTATAGTTAAAAAACAAGCACTTTTTCTGTTGGGTTGCAAATAATTTTTTCTACCATGCCATTTGTTTTTGGCTCTGTTTAAGGTGTTCTCTTGTTGTCATCGTCATTTTTGTTTGTACCATATAATTAAATGTTTTACCCAAGTACACTTAGCAGCATTTTCCTTTTCAGTTTCTAAGTTTTGCCTGTTTTTGAATGTTAGCTTTCTTTCAAGATGGGTCTCTTTGCAGTTACCACTTTAATGCACCAAAGCTTGATTTGAATCACTATGTCATGTTACAGGTTAAGAAATTAGGTTTTACTGTGGAAAGAGAAAACTTACAAAGCCAGAGTCATGAAGAGAAGAGAAGGCACAGAGACCCCATCCTCCCATTGTCCCTGGGTGATGTGCTGGCCTCACAGAATGTTTTGTGTTCCAGGAAGGAAACTCTGTCCCTCTTTTGGTCTCTCTTTTATATATAACAAGTATGAGCCTTATCAGTGAAAGAAATAATCAGACTATCTTGGCACCAGGCAGCCTGGATTTTGGTGCCAGCTGTTTACCAGAGTTGTCTGGGAAACGCACACAAACTGCCCAGCACCTAGACTTTTAGTCCCGTGGGATGTTACACAAGGGAAAGGAAACCGGTGGTCCCATGGGAACCTGAGCTTGTATACAATTCCTCAGGCTGGGAGGAGCCCCCTTCCTCAGCCCAAGCCCCCTACACCTGTTCTGAGCCAGCTCACTGACCAGACAACTCAGAATGAGCACTCAGATTCATTTAAAACAAGCCTGCTCCTATCACATTAGATTATTAAGGAGTCAGGGAGTCGAGATGCAATTAACTCTTTTTTCACCCAACTTATTATTTTGAAAAATTTCAAACCCACAAAGGTTGAAAGAATGAAACAATGAATGCCCCTATACCCTTCACCTAGATTCACCAGTTGTTAACAGTTTTTCACCTTTGTTTTGTCTCTTTCTATAATTATACGTGCAATTTTTATCCTTTGAACCATTTGAAAGTAAGCTGAATACTGTACTTCATGGTAGTTCACTTAGAATAATTCAGCATACATATCCTAAGAATAAGGGCATTCTTCTACATAATTACAATGCCATTTTCCAGCCTGGGAAAATTAATGATTCAATAACACCTTTAAGTTCGTATTCAAATTTCTTCAGTTGTCCCACATGTCTTTTATAGCCATCTTTTTTTCTTTGATCCAAGCTCTTAACAAGGTCTGTACATTGTATTTTATTCTATCTCTTAAGTCCAGTGCCCCAAGGTGGACATTTAGCAATGTTTGGAGACATTTTTGATTGTCATGACCGGGGGTGCTACTGGCATCTAGTGGGTAGAGGCCAGGGATGCTGCTAAATATCCTGCAATTCACAGGACAGCCCCCCATGACAAAGAATTATCTGGTCCAAAATGTCAACTAGTGCTGAGATTGAAAAACCCTGTTCTAGTCTATCTAGAACAGTCTCCCCACTTTGTTTTTCATGCCACTGACTCTTTTGTAGCATCTAGACCAGTTGTTTTATAGTATCTCCCACACTGTAAGTTTTTTTGTTTCTGCATGACTAGTTTCCATTTAAACCAATGGCAAGAATATTACATAGATGACTACAAGCTATTACTGCATAACAAACCACCCCCAAATTCAGAGGTATAATATTAAGAACCATGGGCTAGGTAATTGTACTGATCTGGGCTGGGCTCAGCTGATTTGGGTTGGACTCATTCATGCATCCCAAGTCATTTGGTAAGTTGGCTGGGGGCTGGTCAGTTTGGGATGACCTCAGCTGGGATGACTTGGCTCAGTTCCACTAGTCTGTCACACTTAGCAGGCTAGCCCTGGCCTGTTCTCATGGAAGAGGCAGGGTCTGAAAAAGAGTGGAAGCATCTATTGAGGCCTAGGCTTAGAGCTGGCATTCTGTCACTTCAACTGCATTATGTTGGCAAAACCAAGTTACAAAGCCAGCCTAGAGTCGAGTGGCAGAGAAATAAACTCTACTTATTGCAATCAGTTTATCAAAGTGATATTATGAATCCCTTATTGCATCATATCCAGAGGTACACAATGTCAGGTTGTGCCATTAGTAGTGATGTTAAGTTTGATACTTGGTTAAGTGGTAACTGACAAATCTCTCCTTTGGAAGCTCTATTATACATATGGGATGATTCTTTGGTGCATTGTGTCTTGTATTGGTTTTCTAGGGCTGTGATAACAAGGTACTCACAAATTGGGTGGCTTAGAACAACAGAAATTTATTGTCTGGAGGCTGGAAGTATGCAAATAATGTGTTGGTAGGGCCATGCTCCCTCTGAAACCTATAGGGGAAAATCCTCCCTTGCCTCCTCCATCTTCTGGTAGCCCTAGGCATTCCACAGCTTGCCACTGTAGCACGTCAATGCAGCCTCCATTTTCACATGGTGTTCCCCCTGTGTCTGTATCTTCACATGGCCCTCTTCTTATAAGGACACCAGTCATACTGGATTAGGAGCCCACCCTACTCCAGTACAACCTCATCTTGACTAATTACATGTGCAGTGACCCTGTTTCCAAATAAGGGCACATTCTGGAGTATTGAGGATTAGGACTTAAACATATCTTTTTTTTGGAGGACATAATTCAACCCCTAACACCCAGCAGCTTTTCACTCAATGGTTTTAACATCCACTGATGACTCTTGCTCATTCAGTTATTACCTTGGGGATTGCACAACAATATTTTTCTTAAGCTTCATCATTTCTTCAACATTTGTTAGCTGATATTCTTCTGCAAAGAAAAAGGTTTTGTTTTCCTGTTTCTCCCCTTGCTCTCCTACTTCCCTCCCCCCACTTTTTCAATTACTTTAAATGCACTGCTTTTGCTTTGTATACAACCATAATTTTTATATGACCATAAAAACATTTTCATGATCATATTGTCTCAAATTTGACTACAGGGAGTCCATAAGATCAGCTCTTGTTCAAAGAAGGCACAAATAAGTTTTTTAATTTTTTAGATATATATATTTATATATATATATATTTAAGATCAGCTCTTGTTCAAAGAAGGCACAAATAAGTTTTTTAATTTTTTAGATATATATATATATATATATATATATATATATTTTTCCTTTTTTGTCTTTTTTCATGACCGGCAATGGATCGCAACCCTCAGTGTCGCACCTGTACCGGACCGGGACCGGCAACGGAATCGCAACCCTCGGTGTTGTGCCCGTACCTTGCTCAGCCAGTGAGCGGCTGGTCTGTATGTGGGATCCGAACCCTCAGTGGGAGCGCCGCCGTGCTCCCAAGCGGCGCACCGGGCCGGCCCTAATTTTTTAGATATTTTAAATTTAAAATTCTTTTTTTTCAAATGTGGCTTTTTCAATTAACCCACCTCTATAAGACTTATTTCCGTCATCCATCTAAGTCAGGGCTCATGTTTTTCTCCCTGGAGAGGCTATGTGATTGTTCCCCATGGGAAAAGTCTCATCATCATTCCTAAAGTAGAGCCATAATGAAAGCTGTCATTTAGGGAGTATTCTGCTGCTTTACATATATTATTTTTAATTGTCATAACTCTGTACATAAGTAATGTTACTACATATTACAAATGGGAGAAAGCATGGATTTTGGAAACTGATGGTTTGAATCCCTCTTCTATTTCCTATTAGGTATGTGATTTAGGGCCCCCATAGACCTTGGTTTACTTATCTATACTATGGTGATGATGATATTTGGCTCACAGATTTGAGCTTAGCAGCTTACCTGACCTAGCGTACATGTTATTAGTTCTCTTCTTTCCATATCCTGATGATAGGCTATGACTTCTAGGTCATGATGGATAAGACACAGTGCCACAGAGTCCACCAGCAATTGATCAGGAGTTGATCTATCTCATTAATTCACAGTGTACTCATAAAGAATTAAAGATAGTTTGACCTAGGTTTCAGCTAAAGTTTACCTTTAAATATCTTTGGGGGAAAAAAAGTTTGCTAATCAATTCTTTTTTTTTTTTTTTCCTTTTTGTCTTTTTTTGTGACCGGCAATGGGATTGCAACCCTCGGTGTCGCGCCCGCACTGCGCTCAACCAGTGAGCGGGAACCGGTCTCTATATGGGATCCGAACCCTCAGCAGGAGCGCCACCGCGCTCCCAAGCACCGCACTCTACTGAGTGCGCCACCGGGCTGGCCCCTAATCAATTCTTAAACTAAACAATATTACACGAGGGAGGGAGATAAAATATATTCAACTTAACAGAACAACTTTTGGAAAGAACTTCAGTATTTTACATGCACATTAGGAAGCTCATTTGAATCAATCCTCAAAATAGACTCCAAGTTTGTTCACCTGAAAACAGTGTGTTCATTCATTCCACACATAGTACTGAATGCCTACTATGTCCCGTGCAGTGTTCTAGGTACCTGGGACACACCAAATAAAACAAATATTCCTGCCCTTGTTTACCATCCAGTTGGGGAAGATAGGTGAAAAACAAATAAATGTGCAAAAATATATAGAGTATGAGAAGTAGGTAAGTGCTAATGAGGGGGTGTACAGAGGACTGCAATTTTAAGTAGGGTTGTTATCATTTACAAGGTGATATCTGAGCAAAAACTTGAAAGAGGTGAGGAAATTGATCACATGGCCAAATGGAAGAATGACAAATACAAAGGTCCTTGGGCAGGAGTGTGCTGCTGGAGGCACAGCCAGGGGGCCAGTGTGGGTGGAATGCAGTGAATGACAGAAGTATTTTATTTACCTAATGAACACTTAAATAGCCTTTATTAGTAGCATTATTTTAAGCACTTAAACAATGTTAACTAATCCTCCCAACAACCATATGATGTGAGTACTGATTTTCTCTTTTCCAGATGAGGAAACTAAGGCACAGGAAGGTTAAATAACTGTCCCCCAGTCACATAGCTATCATGTGATAGAGCTAGGATGGGAACTCAGGTAGTCTGTCTCTAGCAAACCATGCTTTTAAAGCACCAAAGTATGCCGTGCTTCTTCCTAGCAGTAAGAAAGAAGGTCTGATAAGTGGGGACTAGATCCCACAGGTCATTAAAGGCCACTAGTAAATATTTGGGTTTTCACTCTGAGTAATACAGGTCTCGAACAGAAGAGTGAAATGTGTTTTTGTTGTTGTTCCAGAGATATCCAAAGCATTTACATACTTCAGGTATATTTTACTCTTGGCATTTGATATGCTTATGCCAGATTCAAAGGATTTCAACTTATGGGAGCAAATAAAATTTGATCTGTATAATTTAAAATATCCTATCAAATACCATACATACAGTAATCTCCCAATTCTAAAGTCTTACACAAACCTCTTTATCATGTGGCTCTAGCAGCACCTGTGTACTTGACTAGGCTTTCTTGGAGTGCCAAAGCAAAGTTTTGACCATAAAACTTTGTTTTCCTCCTTTGAAGGGGAAAAAAAAGAAAAATGGATCATTTAAAATATGTCCTATCCTAACAGGTACAAAAGTATGCTATATCCACCCTAAGTGAATCCTTGGGCAGTGTATGCATGTATTGAAACAACACACTGTACCCCACAAATATGTACAAATAAATGTTAAAAAATTTTTTAATAATAATAAAAGCTTAATGAGTGAAAGAAGCTAGACCCCAAATAGTACATACAATATGATTCCATTTATTTAAAGTTTAAATACAGGTAAAACAAATATGTAGTGTTAGAAGTCTGCTGGGCCAGCCCGGTGGCGCACTGCTACAGTGCGCCGCTTGGGAGTGTGGCAGCGCTCCCGCCGAGGGTTCGGATCCCACATACAGACCGGCCGCTCACTGGCTGAGCGAGGTGCGGGCACAACACCAAGGGTTGCGATCCCATTGCCGGTCACGAAAAAAGACAAAAAGGGAAAAAAAAAAAAAAAAGAAGTCTGCATAGTGATTACCCTTGTGGAGAAGGAGGTAAGAGAATGGAATGGGACATAGAGGGGGCTTCTAGGAAGCTTGTTACAAAGTTTTTCTTGATCTGGATTCTGATTACATGGGGTTTACTTAGTGACAATTCATTGAGCTTACAATTCCACATATGTAACGCTGCAATAAAAATTTACTAACATAAAAAGAAAAGATGTGTCCTATCTACATATGTTGGTGGTGCTGCCTTTTTGGGGCTTAATGCGTCAGTACCCTGTAGGGGCCACCGGCCTTACTAGGGCTCCATGACCTCAAATGTGGAATGATCCTGAGGCAACTGCCCTTGAGAATAACTAAAGGACTCAGGCACGAGTAACTCACCCCATTCAAGGAACATTTAGGAGCAGCATGGGAAGAATCTGTCTGGAGAAGAGAGAAAGTTTGGGAAGATTACACAGTCATCTAAGAATGATATTAATGATCATCATAATAGCCACAATTTATTTAGTATTTACTGTACGCCTAGCATCGTGCTAAATGCACTACAAACATGAGCTATCTAGTATCATCATCCCCATGTTACAGGTGAGGAAAATAAGGCTTACTTCATCTGTACACTGCTCAGATCATATACAATGTGACTTAAGCATAACTCTGCCTGTCTCCAAAGCCCATGTTCCTACTCATTATTCTATGCTGTCAAAGAATTTAACTCTGTATGGTATATGAATTATTCCTTCTCTATATGGTATATGAACTCTACATGGTATATGAATGGTAGTTCTGTAACCCTCAAAACGCTGTCTTCCTGGAGTGGTTCCAGGTCTGAATTTCCAACTGCCTATTGAACATCACTGCAAGTTTCAGCTTTAACCTCTCTTCTGTTCATTGTATCTATCACACACATCTTATGGGCATCATCCGATTCTCTTGCCATCATCTCTCAAGTCCTCAGTTGCTCACCCTGCGGCAGCCATTACTGCAGCTGACTTGCTTTGTTTGGGCCCATGTAGTACTGCTACTTAGGCCTGGGGCTTATCTGCTCCTTTCCCAGACTGGCCTTCCCTGTTGACTACCACTGAGCAGCTGCAACCCGGCTCACCACCTGTCCACCATGAATTTCTGGCTTCTGTCACTCCCCAACCAGGATTAAAGGCCACACCAGGGAGCACTGAATGTGTCTTGCTGAGAGATTAACAATGAGAACAAGTGACACAACCCCCAGAAGTATGAGGAAAGTAATTCCTGGTAGGGTAAATTTTGATCATTGGGAAAGAGGAGATGGGAAGGAATCAGGAAGATGGGTTCCTTTTCCTTTTTCCTCCCAAGAACTTACCGAAAGCATGTTTTCACCATCTAGCAAGTCTGGAGATATTCTGCGGAGGAGATGGGAAGGAATCAGGAAGATGGGTTCCTTTTCCTTTTTCCTCCCAAGAACTTACCAAAAGCATGTTTTCACCATCTAGCAAGTCTGAAGATATTCTGCTCAGCCACACAGGCATACCTACTGTCTCTTTGCAGATTGCTCAAGCATCATCTTGCATGGCTTCCCATCCTTCTCTGTCTCTCTTCCCTTTTTCTCTCAGTCTTACTGCCCTAGGATTGCATCTCCTAAGTAAAACATTAGCATTCATTCTTGGTTCGAGTTCTATTTTTCTAGAAAACATGGGCTAACATATTCAGGCTCAACTTCTCTCAATGGAACCACCACTTCCTAAATTCTCTCAGCTCAAAGTCAAACTCCAAGAATGTGTTCCAAAAGATGATAATAGCTGATAATAATATCACCAATATCCTCAGTATAACTTATAGAATTTGTTCATTACCCCTCAAAAAAGTGCAGTTTGTTTGGAAGAAAATAAAAATAATTTAAATTGTCCTTGGTGCTAAAAAGATTCTGAACCAGTAGCTCAAAACTAGCCTCACTTGGGCCGGCCCAGTGGCGCACTGGAGAGTGCACCGCTTGGGAGAGCGGTGGTGCTCCCGCCGAGGGTTCGGATCCCATGTGGAGACCGGTTCCCGCTCACTGGCTGAGTGCGGTGCGGGCGCAACACCGAGGGTTGCGATCCCGTTGCCGGTCAGTAAAAAAGACAAAAAGGAAAAAAAACAAAAAACAAAAACCTAGCCTCACTCCTAAATCCATTCATTTCCTGAGTGTCTCACGACTAGCTTTTCCCTTTCTTTCCAGTCCTACATGGTTTGGGTCCCTATTATTCTTACTTAGACTATTATTATTGCTTCCTAATTTGTCTTTCAGTTTTCACATTGTTTCCTAATTTGTCTTTCTGTTTTCACATGCTCCTGATCCAATCTGAATACCATTGCTAAAAGGTAGATAGTCCTAAAACTGATTTTATCTTGCTCCCCCATGTTCCAAAACCTTTAGTAACTTCTCTCTGCCCATAGAATAATGTCCAAAGTTCCTTGTAAAACTAATATTTGGTGACTTTATGACAATAGCAAAACCTTGGCACTCAAGGCTCTCCACAAACTGTCATGACCTACATTTCCAGCTTAACACCAACTATAGTGTCTCTCTATTTGAATTATACCATCAGCTGATCTGGGCTGCTTGCTTTTCCCTAACACATGGTGTGCTTGTCTGAGACCACCATGCCTCTGCTATTGAATGAATAACCCAAGTACTTGTGGGTTTTGAAAAGGACCCCCGCCTGCCCCTTCTGCAAGTGTCAGAATGCCTGCCACTCCCATAGCCTCTTCTAGGGGTTTCTAATAGGACACTAAATTATGTGTCAACATATTCTGCCATTCCAAATGGAGCCCTTTAGGTCAGGAGGGGACACCTGACCTAGGGCATCAAACCTTTCCTGATGAAATGGTTTGTCTAGAAAGCTCTCACAGCCTGCACTTGACAGGGAACAGCCAAGCCAGTCAGATCCTTTCAGGCAGTTGAATATGAAATACAGAGAGGAAGTCAGAAATTAGCAGTGAACAGAAGCTAAAGGACACACACAGGGAAGGAGGAAAGCTGAAATCTTGTGGCAGCAGAAACCTCGATGCAACAGAAGCTGTGAGATGGAGAAAAGAATAGAAAGTACTGAATGGCAAGGGCAGCAGAAGCCAAGAGTCACAGTAATACAGATAGAGTCCAAGTAATACAGATAGAGTCCACAGATAACAGCTATTCACTGCTGAAGAGCCCATAAGATAACCCAGTTGCTATGATTGTACTGTATGCTGAATCACCTTCCAGTTCCCATTGGCCATTACTTAGACTGAAGTAACCTGAGTATGTCTCTGTTCTGGAAATTAAATTTTTGCCTTTTGGAATCTCTATTAGTCAAGATCATGGCAGGAAACTGATGGCACATTCAGCTGGGATTTTGAAAATAATTTGATGAAGACATATTTACAAGGATGTAAGCAGGGTTATGGGAACTTAAGAGAATGCTGAGGTACCCAAGGACCAGCAATAGTGGAAGCCCAGGGCTGAAGAGAAAAGGGGAGGAAATAGTTTTATTGGAGCCCAGAAAGAGCAGGAATTGTGAAGGAACATAGCTATTGACGAAACCATGGTATTAAAGCAGGGAAGAATGAAGAAATATCTCAACCTTTTTTTCCTCCTATCCTCTGACACTTGCTGACACCTCTGAGTGGCCAAACCCAACAGCAAGCCAGAGGGCAGTGGAACCCAGATAATACAATCTGTGAGGTCACAGCCTCATTGAGCCCAGAACAGGGCAGAAAAGCACATAGAACTGTAGTGAGCTGAATGGTAGCCACGTTCCCCCAACAAAATATGTCCACACCCTAATCTCCAGAGCCTGAGGATATTATATTACATGGCAAAGGATGTGATTAAGTTCAGGATCTTGAGAGGAAGAGCTTATCCTAGATTACTAGGGTGGGCCCTAAATGAAATCACATGTATCCTTATAAGAGAGTTGCAGAGGAAATTTTAAGAGGGAAAAGAAGGAGGCAATGTGACCATGGAGGCAGAGACTGAAGTGGAGTGGTCCCAAGCCAAGGAAATCCTGGGGCCACCAGAAGCTGGAAAAGGCAGGAAGAGATTCTCTCTTGGAGCCTTCGGAAGGACTGTGGCCCTGCCAAAACCTTGATTTTGAACTTCTGGCCTCCAGAACTATGAGGAAATTAATTCTGTTGTTTTGAGTTTAATTTGTTATGGCAGTCATAGGCACCACTACAAGGACCAAACAGAGAATAACCAGCACAAAATCTATTCATCTCAAATGACACAATGATATCCTTGATCACTTTGGCTGGACATTCTTTTCTCTACCTTTTATTTTCCCTGTGGTACTTCCTTTGGGACCACTTATATGCTTCAAATTATATGCTCCCAAATTATGGTTATTTTTGTATACAAATGTCTTTTCCTCCAAACGAAATTATGACATTCTTCTTTAGAGCAAGAACCATGTCTTGTACCTCTTTGTATCCCATAAAAATCCTAGCAGAGTACTCTGAACAGCATGGACATTCTGTAATTGGTAAATAGGAAAGAAAGCCTCCATTTGTCCATCTGTAAATGGAAAATAACAATTTCCACTGACTTGCCTTTCAGAGATAATGATGGCAGTGTTTCCTAGAAACAATTTCTGTACCTGTAACAGAGTGATATATCTGAAACACCCATTCCTGCTGGAGCAATTCTTCAGGGAAAAAAAATTACATTTAGTTTTCGTGTGCCCTCCATTCAATGTGGAGCTGAATCTACTTGTAGTTCACCCCAAGGAGAAAAAGGCAGGGGATAATTAAGAAAATGTAAGAGCTGAGGATTGGTGTTTTCTCAAGAACTTTGATTCATTCAATAAATATTTATAAAAGAACTACTATGATAAAATACAGTCCATTGATGCTGAGGAAACACACACACACACACACACAGAAAAATTTATGATCCCAAGTAAGTGTCATACAATATGATGAATGCTTTTTATAAAATTAAAATGCTGTGGGTCCAGAAAGAAGGGAATGATTAACTCTATTGATGGGAGTTTCACCAAAAAAAAAAAGGTCACATTCAAGCTGGTCTTTTAGGACTACATCAGGCAGAGGCAAAGTCAAGAGTATTCCAGGACCCAGAGAAATAACTTTGCTTGAGCTGTTGCCAAGCAAACCACACCCTCAGCTCAGCCCTATTGTATCCACAAAGGCCTATTTTTATTCATTATCCTTATAGCTACTTTTAAAGAGAAGAAGGGAGTTCTGATTACTTCCCTATTTTGTACCCAGGTATTTTATATGTCAAATCAGAAGGGAAAGTAAAAGTTGACTTCTGACAAGTCCAGTAATGAGTCCAGATATCCATCCAATAATTAGTTAAAATGGAAACTCTTACCTTTGCTGAGCTTCTACCTCATTTCTGAAAACTGAGGTTCCCTGTGAGAGTACCAGGGCATTTACAGTTCAGAGCAAAGCAGGCAAGGAATGACAGCACCCTTGTCTCACTGCCCCAAACCAGGAGGCACTTCCCTGTGGCAAACACTCCTTGAATGGGAATTACGGCTGAGGCCCTTTTTCCTCCCCTAGGCTGACCTTCAAATCACTCCTTGGGGAACAGCTCTGTCCAGGGCACGCCCAACTTCTCTCCCAGGCCAGCCCTGCTAGGCCTGTGAGACCAGAGCCGTGCTGTTATGAGTGGGAGGAAAAAACTCTTGGGAAAGCAGCCAGGAGAGAAAGAATGACCAGCCGAAAGCCACCAAGGGTCACAAGATTCCCCATCCTCACCCTGCCACTTCCCCTGGAAAATGGGGAAGCTGGGAAACCAGAACCCTGGTCTCACAGTATGCATCACTTGTCCTTGTTTTCTCAAGAAGCCTCTACCTTCCAGACCCTGCCAGGAAGCCCGCGGCATTTTCATGAAGCAGTAATAACAAGGACAGAGCGTTCTAGCCTGCTGGAGCCTGCTGGCTGGTCACTCTTTCCATTGCCTTTGTTTTCATGCATCATTCCCCTCACTTGCTTCTCAGATTCCTCAGGGCTTTGAAAAAGCCACAAATGCTCCACACAGTGACACCACCCAGCAGGCTGGCAGACTTCACTGACATGCACCCTCCCCTAAGCGATCGCACGTACTCAAGCCCTGACAACTGACACCCAGCCGTGCACCTAGTAAGAAGGAAGACAGCTTCCAGAATGGACCCACCCCCACCTGCCTAGTTGGCAAAGGTGTGACTTTAGATTACCACCCAGTGGACTGGTAAATCATGTACTGCAGCTTTATTCAAAATGCATCTGCAAGGTATGTTGGGCAGTGGTACTTTTCCACCCTTTCCACAAAGATCTAAATGCAGCCAACATGGACGTTATCAATAAAGTGCCAGAGTGGTCTCACTATGCCAATTTACACGTCAGTATATCAGATTGTAAGCACATGCATACATGGGTCAGAGACTCTATATCCGTGTTTCAGAATCACTTGTGGCACATTTCAAACCACACTCCAGAGCTACCCTATCAGATTCTATGAAAATAGGGCCCAGATATGTGTATTTTTTAAAAAATAACTTGAAAGAATGTGGGACAAGAGAAATTCTCATATATCATTGATGAAAGTAAAAATTGGTTTGGCTACCGTGGAGAGTAAGCTGGAAAGCAATCTAGTAAAGTCGGCAATGTGCATTTTCTATTCCCTAGCAATTTGTGTTCTAGATGTATTCCCTCGAAGAACTCACACACATGTCCAAGGAGACATACACAAGGACATGAATTTGAAATTGCTAATAACTAGACATAATAAATATCCACCCATAGGATAATAGATTCTAGAATATTTATGTGATGGGGTTCTATATTGCAATAATATATAATATAATATTACTTATAAAGAATGGACTATCTCTACAAGTATCACATGGATAAATCTCAAAGTAATGGTGTTGAGAAAAAACAAGCTACAGAAAAATATGTACACTGCTTGCATACATGTTTAAACATCCAAAACTTATATATTATGTAGTAGAAGTATAAAACCATGTGTGGGAAAGATTCTCATCATGTTCAAGAGACTGTTTACCTCTGGGGAGAGTTGAGATGGAAGGTCTTCTCCTGTACATAAAATGTTTTATTTATTTAAAAAAAATCTTAAGCGGGCCGGCCCGGTGGCGCAGCGCGAGGGTTCGGATCCCACATACAGACCGGTTCCCGCTCACTGGCTGAGCGAGGCACGGGAGCAACACCGAGGGTTGCAATCCCGTTGCCGGTCCCTGGTCCGGTACGGGGGCAACACTGAGGGTTGCGATCCGTTGCCGGACACGGAAAAAAGACAAAAAAAAAAAAAAATCTTAAGCAAATATGGCAAGCTGTTATTATTTATTAAATCTAGAGTGTGGATACATGTCCCACAGGTGACTCTGAGGGTCATGGCCATCCATATGAAAGGATCTTGTGAGATTCTTAGGATTCTCAGTTATGGATAATAAAGCTTTGTTCTCTATAGTGAGCCACCTTGCTGAACACAAATGACACTAATGAGCCCTCTTAGTAGTGTATGCAAATTGAGATGTTTTCATTAATGGAGGAGTTGCTGCACAGGTCCACTTACACTCTCTTACCCAGGTGCCCTTGTGACCAGCTGGATTTGAGAGCATCCTAAACAGAGTCAGAGGTGCAATAGAATGAAGATAAGGATTGGTTCACATGTGGATATCATTATTATAATCATACCCAGAAATTCCAAACCTGGCTGAAAACCAGATAAAAATTTTAATGCAGTTGTCCATGCCCCACCATCTAAGAATATGATACAGTAGTTCTGAGGTGAGACTCTAGAATCTATATTTTTAAATGGCTTACCAAGAGATTCTGATGGTCAGTAAGGATTGAGAAATGAAAACCGTTCATGGTTATGTTCTATTAATGTTTTCAAAGAAGTTGGGTAGGGAGAGAAATGGGAAAAAAAGAAGCAAGAAAAGTAAAAGAGGAAAGAAGGAAGGGAAGGAGGGGTGAAGTGAGCCTTCAAATCCAGCTCAAATCCTTCCTACTCTATTTTTCCTAGCCCTTTTCAGCCCTGAATTGTCTCTTCATCCCCTGAACTTTGCCAAAGCTCTAATTATCTGTAACATTTATTTGGCAATTATATACTTCCCTGTACATTGCTATAATAGCCTATCATTTACTCAATAGATTTATGTCTTATTTCTTGAATTAGGCTATAAGCTTCTTCAAGACAAAAACCATTCTTGTTCATATTCGTATTTCCTATAGTGTCTAACATAATGCCTCACACAGAGTAAGAAGTAAAGGATCATAATTAAAAACATAAGATAAAACAAGTTCAGAAATGTGGCAGGATACAAGAGCAATATACAAAAATCAATTGTATTTCTATACACCAGCAAGGAACAATCTGAAAATGAAATACAATGTAATCCCTATCAAAATCCCAACTGCATTTTTTTTATTTTGCAGAAATTGACAAGCTGATTATACACTTCATGTGGAAATACAATCCAGAAGAGCCAAAAGAATCTTGAAGAAGAAGAACAAAATTGGAAAATGCACATTTCCTGATTTCAAAACTTGCAACAGGGCCGGCCCGGTGGCGCACTGGATAAGTGCACCGCTTGGGAAGCGCAGCGGCACTCCCGCCCGAGGGTTCGGATCCCACATACAGACCGGTTCCCGCTCACTGGCTGAGCGAGGCGCGGGGGCAACACCGAGTGTTGCAATCCCGTTGCCGGTCCCCAGTCCGGTACAGGGGCAACACTGAGGGTTGCGATCCGTTGCCGGACACGGAAAAAGACAAAAAAAAAAAAAAAAAAAAAAAAAACTTGCAACAAAACTACAGTAATCAAGCCATAAGGCATAGGGATACACATACAGATCAATGAAATAGAATTGAGAGTCCATAAATAAACCCTCCCATTTATGGTCAATTTAATTTTTGACAAAGGTGCAAAGAAAATTCAACAGGGAAAGAGTACTTTTTTCAATGACTAGTGCTGGGACAACTGAATATCCAAATTCAAAAGAATAAAGTTGGACTCTCCTTCACAGCAAAAAAATAAAAACACAAAATGGATCATAGATCTAAATGAAAGAATTAAAACTATAAAATTCTTACAAGAAAACTTAGGAGTAAATCTTCATGACCTTGGATTTGGCATTGGTTTCTTAAATATGTCACCAGAAACAGAAGTGAGAAAAAAGAAAAAAAGATAAATTGGACTTCAAAGTAAAAGCTTTTGGGCTTCAAGGGACACCATCAAGAAAGTGAAGAGACAACCCATGGAATGGGAGAACATCTTTGCAAATCATATACTTGACAAGGAACTTATATCCAGAATATATAAAAATCTGTTACAACTTAATAAAAAGACAAACAATTCAATTAAAATATGGGCAAGGAATTTGAATAGACATTCTTCTAAAGAATATATACAAATGGCCACTACGCACATGAAAAGATACTCAACATCATTAGTTATCAGGGAAATGAAAGTCAAAACCACAATGAGACACTTCACAGAATGGCTATAATAAAAACAGACAATAACAAGTGTTGGGGAGGATATGGAGAAATTGGAACCCTCATATATTGCTAGTGAGCATGTAAAATGATTCAGCCACTTTGGAAAAGTTGGCAGTTCCTCAAAATGCTAAACATATAATTACCAAATTACTCAGCAATTCCACTTCTAGGCATATGCATACCAAGAGAAACAAAAACATATGTCCATACAAACACTTGTACATGACTGTTCATAGCGGCATTATTTATAATGACCCCAAAGTGGAAAAACTCATGCCCATGAACTGATGAATAGGTAAACAAAATGTGGTATATCCATAAAATGGAATGTTTTCAGCCATAAAAAATAATAATGTACTGATCCAAGCTGTGATATGTATGAACCTTGAAAACATTGTGCTAAGGGAAGGAAGCCAGTCACAACAGACCACATACTGTATGATTCTATTAGTATGAAATTTCCAGAATGGGCAAACCCATAGAGACAGAGTAGATTAGTGGTTGCCTGGGGTTGGGATTGGCTTGAGAGTGGAGAGTGGGCATTGGGAATGACTGCTGATGGATACAGGGTTTCTTTTTGGGGTGTTGCAAATTTTCTAAAATTAGATAGTTGCACAACTCTGTGAACACAATAAAAAACATTGAACTGTACACTTTAAATGGGAAATTTTTATGGTATGTGAACTATATCTCAATAAAGCTGTAAAAGCAATAAAAAAATGTAACCCAGCTTTGAACTGTAGCTCAGTTACTGTTGCTGAACAGACCAAGCTCAATGCCTCCTGAGGATCTTTGCATTTGCTATTACCACCCCCCATCTTTACACTGTTGCATTCTTCTCATCATTAAGGTCTTCTGAATCCCCCTTCCAATGTTGCACAGTCTTCCCCACCCCTGTCAATCACTATCAATTACTCTATGTTATTTTTCTCACAGTGTTAATCACTATCTGAAATCATCTTATTTCTTTTCTTCCCTAAAAAAGTTATTTATTTATTTATTTTTGATTATACATATTTATGGGGTACAGAATTGACTATCAGTATTTGTGTACAGTATGTGATGATTAAATCAGTATTATTAACATGTTCAG